AAGGATAGATGAGTATGAAGAAAGGAGGAAATTTAAAAGGAAAGAGAAAGGAAAAAGGTAAACAGAGTTAATAAAAAGGGATGGAATGGAAAGGCTGGTGGAAAAAAAATAATGAAGGAAAGCAGGAAGGAGGACATTTAAAAGGAAAAGAGTAAATAGAGATAATAAAAAAGGATGGAAAGGAAACAGCAATGAGTAGAAAGATGGGAGGAAAAATAAAAGAAAATAGGAGGACATTTAGGAGGAAAGGAAACAGCAGAAAGAATGGAAGCATGGGAAGAAATAAGAAGACAGAAAACATAAGAAGGGAGGAGGAAATTTAAAAGGAAAGAGGAGAAAACGGGTAAGGAGAGAAAGATTAACAGAGATAACAAAAAAAGGGTAGAAAGGAAACCGCAAAGTATGGAAGAGTAACTGAACACTAAAAAAAGAGAACATGGAAGGAAAGAAGGAGAAAAATTTAAAGGAAAAAGGAAAAAGAAAGAAAATAAAAAGGTGAAAAGAAAACAGCAGAAAGAATAGAAAGACTGAAGGGAATAAATGAAGGAAAGGCAGGTAGGAGGACATTTAAAAAGAAGAAAGGAAACCGTAGCAAGAATAAAAGGATGGGAAGAAAAAAGAACACATGAAGGAAGGAGGAAATGAGTAAGGAAAGGAAGAGAAATGGGCATAAAAAAGATGAATATGAAACCGCAGAGAGAATGGAAAGATTGAAAAAAAAAATCAATAACGATGTAAGAAAAGAGAAATGATCCATTCAAAAGAGAAAAAGGGAGGAAAAGAGTAAAGGTAAATGGTATGAAAAGGATGTAAAGGAAACAAGAAACATACAGGACAAAAAAAAGGAAGGAAGGATTTTGTAGATGAAATAGGAGGAATAGAGTAAGTGAAAGAGACATGACAATAATCTCATAGCAATTCATAACTTTAAATTAGTGGCTAATTCGTATGAATTTGTACAATCTCATTCATACAATTTGCTCATCCCCCAATTACGGTAGGGTTTAGGGCAGGGATGGGCAAACTTGATCCTCGAGGGCCGGTGTCCCTGCAGAGTTTTGTTCCAACACTAGTCAAACACACCTGAACATGCTAATCAGTGTCTTTAAGATCACAAAAAATCTATAAGCAGGTGTGTTTGATTAGGGTTGGAGCTAAACTGTGCAGGACACCGGCCCTCCAGGACAGAGTTTGCCCACCCCTGGTTTAGGGGCAGGTTTTGGTGCCACGCCTTTTTTTTTAAAATCATACATTTTTGTAAGACTAAACTGAATTCATACGAATTTGCCACTAAATTGACAACGTAAAAACGTTTTCTCATGAGATCAGGCTGGACATGAACAGGAATAGAAAAGAAGGAGGAGTAAAGGGGAGAAAGGAAATAAAGTAGGACAGCGGAACAAAATAAAGCAGGTTGCACAGCGCATGCCTCATCTTTTCATTAGATTATATCTATATGTTGCTAAGCATCACAAACATATCGTCACCTTAGAATTATAAGGTTCTGTCAAAATTGAGTTATTGACATATTATTGAATGACAACGTATTTACATTATGTGATGTTCTTTTATAGGTTGTTTACATTTTAGGACTTTTTAGGACAGCTTTCTTTGTCTTTTAGCCGGAATGCTCCATTGACAGTGGGACAGAAACACAAAATCAAAGTCAAGTTATAGAAAGCAATAATTTTACTTTCCTAAGCCTCAGCCTATTGTTACAACACCAAATCATATATATTTTTGATTGTATTTCTTGAAAAGTATTGCTTGAATTATCTATCTGCTAGATGAACCCTTATAAATGAATTTTTAAAACTAGAAGGTTCTATCTGCAGTTGCCCTGTTTTATTTACCCCAGTTTTCAAATTTAAGAGAATTTTGATGATTTACATTTAGGGTCTCTGTCATTGTTAATGTGTAAAAGAGAATTGTTACACACATATTGTTTGCTGTATATGGAATACAAAAACCTTAAAGCTCATTATCTCAAAATCAATTACAACGCAGATAGAACCTTATAATTCCAAGGCGACGATGTGGCGAATGGCGATGCTGGTGTGCGCGTCCTTATAGAAAAATTCTATTCTAAAAACCAGGGCATGGCACTTTACGTCCAGTGTGTGACCCTGTTTAAAAGTGAAACAGAAAGGAACAAAAGAAAGAATGGGGAAGGAAGGAAAGGAACAACAAACAGGGAAGAAGGAAGGTGGGAAGGATCAAGAGGTTAAATAAAATAAAATAAGAATGAGCTTGGGGAGGAAAAAGGAAAGAGAAAAGGATGGTAAAAAAACAAAATATACATAAAGAAAGTCAATAGTAATGATCATATGGTCTGTATTGCTCTGAGTGTTTTTCTTTGATTGCAGTGACACATTAAGTCATCAGCTCTATATTGTTGTGCAGTTTGTTTGGATGTAAATACCCATTTCATACTAAAACAGAACATTCAAATAGCTTCATTTCAAACATAACATGACAGATGTGTTTACCGAGACATGCATTTATTTGATGAACATTCAAGACTGGATAATGAACATGTTCATTTTAAACTGGACTTATAACAGATTTAATTAAAACCCGGGAATATTTTACAACTCTTCCTCATAAGGCCAATATCTCCACCAGTCAGATTGAGTTTAAATGATCACATCATAATAACACATTAAGTTTCCAAATATTAATTTCCTGCTCACAAACCCATACTTTTACAAGACGAAGTCAAGCTTAACAATACTGCCATGTTCGTTCAGTAATTTACCCACAATGCCATTCCACGGTAAACACTTTTCTGTGTTTGGGTCACAGGTTTATAATGGATTCTGGTTTCAGAAGCCACACTATTTTAAAATTAGCCACTTTCACACACTTGTAAATTGCTGTTTAGGGATTGAGTGAACAACATGTTTTTAATAATAAAGATAGTAATAATTTGAAAGTGATTGTAAACTATGAGTTTGTTGTTACAGTATGTGTGAACAGTATCGGATTATGGAGTTTGATCATGATAATGCACCAACAATGTATAAGTGGATGCATTTGAAGCGATGTTTTACCATACATAAACACAAAATATCAGGTTTATTTATAATTTACAGATAGATTGTTGTTTAAAGATTGTGCGCAAATAGATTCTTTAGAAAATATTTTACTTTAGAAAATTAATTCTGACAATTTTCTGGTATGAGAATTTAATGCTAATGATAACTACAATGTTATTGTGAACAAAAAGTGGCATTATGAAAGGCAATCAGTGCCAACTTTTTGACTGTGAATTCTGATCATGCTCAGTTTGACCATGCCACCATCTAAGCAAGCACAGCAGCACAGTAAATTGCTGTATTTTAGATTTCCACACAATTCCTTTATGTTGTTTCAACACAAATATATTGTTAACTTAATTGTTTTAAGTTCAATCCACTTAAATTTGTAAAAAGCAGATTGAACGAGCAACAAAAGCCATTTTTTAATGCATGCAAACATCAGATGCCAGGTTTATTCATAAAGGATATTCTATACTTACATATGCAACCATCAGAGGTTATATCGTTTCATAAAAATTGTACCTCAACACAGTTCAATTTTATTTGCGTCTTTGCATTCCAAAGAAAACTTAAAGTTTTGATGCTTGAATGTGATTAAACTGTATGTTTACATTGTCAAATTTTACACATTTTGTCCCAAATTGCCTTCCATATTGAATTACTGTTGCCAAACGTGTTTTACTGTTTAAACTGTTTAAAGTAAGCTCTCATGCTTTCTAAGAAAGCACAAAAGCCAGTTAAATTGCTGTATTTTAGACTATTTTTGCATTTCTGATGATTCAAGAAATATGATCTCATTTTTACTCTATACAAACATCATGTTTATTCATGAAGAGCATTCTATCTCGAACTAGGGTCTACATATTGACACATGCTGTGTGTCAACATACTAACTACTAGGCTATCAGCGCCAATATGTTAATTGTATCTTAATTTTTTTTTTATTACAGAACAATTTTGCTTAAGTCTAGTAATTTTATGGCAATTTACTGGCTTTAATGTGTGAAAGTGGCTAATGTGACGAACACAAACATTCAGTGTTTACAGCTATCAGAAGCCATTCTGACTTATCAATCCCCACTTATAATTTTATTTAAAGCACCGTGGAAGAAATGCACACCCCTGGGCTGAAATCTGACTCATTTTAACCGCTTTCATGGGGGAAAAAAGTACTGTTTGAGTTAATAGATCAAGATAATGTTTCATAACTGGTGCAAAGTTTCAAAATGGACGATTGCGATAATGGATTTGCCAAAAATTAACCCTGTGCGAGACCCGACAGATTCGAGGGCCATTTTGTTGAAAAATAACCTGAATATAAAATGCAAGAAGACCTTGTTGTCCATCTATCCTAAAATGAAATGCGATCGACTTGGATACACAACATAACGGTTTGCAATTAGAATTGATTTCTAACAATTGAAATACAAAAGCTACCTTTACTTTACTGTACGAGTCCACCCTGTTGAAAAAAAAAAAACCTCAGCAGCCATATTGAATTACAGAGCCTGGAGACCTCCCACAAGCCCTCTCTGTTTTCTGAAGATGATGTGCATTATTGTGTTGATTGTTACAGTGAAAATTTTGGGAATCCCATGGTTCATGCACATATATAGGGCATTTAAATGGCTTTTGATTATCAAAATTCTGAGGTTTTATGTTTAAGCATAATAAAGCAGCACCTGAATGATTTCATATTCAGCTCTGTCAGATGAACGGTTAGAATATGTAATTAAACTCAATAAATATGATAACTGTGTGCGACTGATTTCAACTTGACACAAAAAGCAAAACCTGTGCATATTTCAGCATGTTCTCGCTGGATCTGATTATTAACATGCAATGCCATACCAATGTGCCACTGAAAAACAAAACTAATTTCATCGAAAAAAAAAAAAAAAAAGAGAGTGATGATGAGTTAGAAAACGAGAGCTTAGTTACATAAACAAACCCCAAAAATGAATGTGCATTTCATTCCCTTTATTAAAATGCTTAGTACACGGATCAAATACAGGTACAAAACAAAAACGGTACAACTTAAATATTATATGTTCAAATTACTGTGTACTTCATAATGGTTTTTTCCAATGAGGCTAAACTTTACCTAGTACTAAAACATCAGCCATGTGTGTTTGAAAGTTGAAACTACATTATTTGACTTTTTCAAAATGTAAAGGGGGGTTACATTGCAACAAACAGTGACCACAATATGTGTTTGGACACTTTAGACACATTTAAAAAACGTATGTGAATCAATATAACAAATTGAGAAACAGTTTAAAGATGCTAAATAAATAGCTTAAAATAAATGTATATGGACACTTTGTGGTTGTTTTGTCGTTTTTTTTAATTTTATTTAATGTCTTGACCTTTTTAATTGTGACATAAATATCCAAATACTATTTGAAGCCACTGTAAGACTCAGATCAGATGAGTGTAGAAATATTACCCCAGGTGCCTCTTTACACATAAAGTGACATTAAATCAGACACTTGGATCTCTACACTATAGGAAATCTATATGAAGAGGAAATTATGGGACTTGATAAACAGACCTGACACATCCGACACCACCTGGATCACCTCTGGCAAGCTGCTTTAACATTTAACCTACAGTACAAACCATCCTAGAATTGGTTTTCATGCCAGTAGTTTTTATACTAGCAGAATCTTTTCCATTAATTACTAGTGTTTATTCATTCAATACTAGTGCTTATTCTTTAGGTACTAGTGTTTATGCTAGAGAATGGGGTATATGCACACAGACTTTTAATTTTCAGTCAGCCAGCCCATATGATTGTGGTCTTCCCATTACAAAATCTGATTTCTTTAAAAATAAATGATCTTCACTGTCTGATAAATTTATGATATAACGTGGGTTTCAGTGTACAAGAAGCACTGCATTAAACTCCATTTTCCCTGCCTTGTCTTTGAAATATGAAAGTTTATTGTACCCCAGTATTTTCAATAGAGTTTCTGCACTAGCCTGCTGCTACTGACGGCGCTAGCATTTACATGGACTTTATTCTTATTTTAAGCTAAATGAATGCTTAAGTCTATTTAACTGATTGTATTTAATTATTTTACAACATTGATGACGTAAAAGGAAGCTTATGAAGTTGAAATACTCCTATTAACCTTTCGCTGGATTTTTATTGTTGGCTGAAATGACCTAGCTGTGCATACTGTATATAGCCCAGCTTAGTATGTAAAAATATATGTAGGCTGCTAGGAATCCTATAGGCAAGAGAACCTAAGAAATAATTACTAGTGTTTAATAAATTACTGCAATGTAGTGAATAATACTACTATGTAATAAATAAGAACTAGCATACATATAATTTGTAAAAGTGTCTAATAAAAAGTAATATGTGCCTATAGAGTGAAGGAACTATTTGTATGCAAAAACTTGGACACGTTTGGGCAAATTAGCACTTACAAATTTACTTTGAAGAGATGGAATTAAACTGACTTTTTGGTTAAATGAAATAAGGTCAGTGGTAAACTCAAACTCAAGATACTTTCATGTTTTATTCTACTACATTAAACACAAGTTACACCTCCTCATTACTTTTAAAGCTTTTAGTTTCCTTTACACTGTTTCTAATAAGTTGCTAAGCTGCTAAACTCGGCAATTTCATATATAAAATATAGTGTGGATTAATATTCATCCAAAAATGAACTTGACAAGCTATCGGAAATATTTTAGTGGTAACGTAGAAGGCTAGTTACCTTTGTGTAGTTCGTTTAAAGCCTAAGGTTAGCTTTTTAGTGCTTGCGCTTAGATTTTTAATTTCAAAAGTCATCAATTTTATATTATGTTGTAAAGGTTATCTTGATGGACAACACGTGCAAGTATAATGAACTATGCTTCAAAAAGCCTGTGGGAAAGTTCTATAGGGGGTTTTATTAAGAAAACCAGTGTAATGCTAACAGCCAATTGGCCTACAAAGTGATGTCATAGTTCCTTCACTCTATTAGCATCAATTAAATAACAACCAGTGAGTCCACATGAACCGGAAGTTGCTGAGACTTTTATTTCAGTATGTTCATGTACTTCTGACTTTAAACGGAATATTGAGTGGGGTTGGGGATTTGTTTTGCACATCATTCCCTAATAGTAAACTAACAGTAAGAGGGGCGTGGTTAAGAATATTGTGGTGGAAGTCATCAAACTAACATTATCAGACAAGGGTGCAATAAGGCGCAAGACGTGTTTGGTGTGATGTGTTGCTATTCTCAGACCAACGAAACTGTAATTTTCACATTTTGCACCACGTTGTTAAATAGCAAATCCATTTGTGCCACTTTGTGGACTCATGAGTGTGTCAGTTTAGAAAGGAGGTGTGTTGAGGCGCATTGTTGGTGCGTTGCTATTTTGAGGAATTAAAATAGACTGCGCAATAGACCAGCTGAAACTGGTTGGATATAACTCATTTTTCTTTGACCCTACTTCGATGTTATTGTTCATTTATTCATTTGCTGGAAATAAGAACTGAATTTAGAAATAGTTTTGAAACAAATCTTTGCGCTTAACAAATTAAATTAAATATGTATGCTAATGAATGTCTTCAGTGCAGTGCTTAAAAGGTAAGAAAAGGAGTAAAGAAGAAGTAAAGAGGCCGAATGGAGGAGGCTCATTCTTTATCGTCACAATGCAAATGGTCTGTTTAACTGTTTTCTCACTATAAAACATTCAGTTTTCTGTCTTTAAAATGGCAAAAGTGGATTCGGAAAAGTCCTTAATGCTTTTGAACCATGCGCTTTAGACTTTGCGCCTAGATCATTAAAATCGAGGCCAAGGAGCGCCACTTCAAATGCTGAAGCAAATGGTCAGACTTTGATTGAAGTTTACAAAACATTTTTTTTCACCTAAAGAATAACAACGTGCGCTAGCAAAAGCAACATTGTAAATTTCGATTTCACCAGGACTTTAAAACAAACATCTATTGAAGAAGTATCTTTTTAATAAAATAATAAGCTCTATTAGCTGAAGAATAACAACTAATTAATGGATACTAGTATCTAAAAAGGGACTGGTGTACAACGGGGAAATTTTTTTCCAGTACAGTTAATAGTTTAAATGTAAAAACAGCTTGCCATACCCGTCACATTCACTGTATTCATGCTTTCTAAGAGGAAACTGCATTATTTCAAAGGCACTTCCCAAATCCGACAATAAAGAGGATTAATAAATAAACTCCTGCTGTGGAAATTTAGGTAGTAAGCATGTCGATTCCCAACACAAAAACATGAGTTTTGAGATGAGATTTAGTTTGCGTGGATGCAAACGAGGAACAAAAAAAGTGAAAATGAGGCGCATGCTCTCGACTTGCGTTCGTCACACACCTTTCAAGTGTGAATCACAGCATGCAAGGCTGCAGAAAAGAGGGTGAGTTTCACAAACACGAAGGCAGAAGTCAGAGAATGACAGCGACAGTGCTTGTACACCCCAATGGCTTCCTGTAAAGCAGCCTTACTTCCTGTCACCTTTAAATGTTATATAAACACGGTTCTTTATATTCGTATATATACGAATAACATATATGTTATAATTAGCTTAATTACTTTTTTTTTTCTCTGACCATGCAAGACTACAGGCAAAAGGGGAACGGGTGTGTGATGTGGCAAGGTGTGCAAATACTCCCTCTACTGGCCGTCAGTCCCACTCACAGCTGTACACAATTACATATATACAAAAGATAGGGGGCGCCATTGTACATGTTATTCTACCCTACGAGGAACACACCAGCCACCCAAAACCAGCACATCATGGCAAAAGACAAGGGGGTGATTGAATATTGTACAGTGCTCGTTAAAATTAAAGCCCACCCTGCCACATCGAGTGAAGCACAGAAAACTGCAAGGTATTAGATATCAGCCAGTCAATGTACATTTTACAGATTATTCCTTTTTTCATCTTAAAGTTGATCTGTTTTGGATGCCGTCCCTGCTGAAGAAAAGAAATGGAAAACTTCACAGAAAATTTCAATGGTTTCCAGTAGCCTATAGACACCATTAAAGCAATTACAAGCCATCAAATTGTAACCATTAAAACCACATTTTTAAATGTTTTTAGTGTTTTGGAACACATCCCATTAGGATTTATTGGTTTTTAGCATGTCACCAATAGAAAGCAAACAAAAAAGGACCCACAATTTCCATTAAAACCAATATAATTTCCATTATACCCACTAGAAAACCATTATAATTTATTTTTGTTCTTTTTTTTCAGCAGAGATATGAGGGGATGCAAAGCAACTAGTGGAGAGTCATAAATATACATATTCAGACATTTCTTTGAATGAAAATGCAAACATTATTATTTTTTTGACGCATATATTGTTTTCATCTGGAGGTTTTGTGTGGACTTGTTTTCAGCCGTTCACCTTCTGAAGAACATGGGGTTGCGCAGGCAGGCGGTTAGTCACCTGCAGCACCCCAGCGGGCCGGCCGAGGTCTCCAGGCTGCTGTCGGTGTCGGAGGCCAGGGTCTGGTCGGTGGACATGGAGGAGATGTCGTTAACGGAGGAGGACGGGGGGAGGCTCTCGCTGCTGTTCACGGCTGCACCTGCGCTAAGGGAAGTAACAGGGGGAAAACGGTTACAACGAAAAAGAGTTGCGAGGCCACAGTGCCCTTTACAGGGCGAAGATATATTACAAGCAGAAACCTTCAAAGGGGTCATAAGAGATTTCACGTTTTCCTTTGTCTCTGCAGATCTGTTATGAGCAAGAGCAGCTTGTAACACTTCAAAGTCTCAAAAACTAAGGTGTTAAACCCAAAGAGATACTCTTAAAAGAATTAAAGGGATAGTTCCCCCCAAAATTTACAACTTTAATCATTATTTACTCATCAGGTAATAATTGTAGTTAGTTTTTTTCTGTTAAACAAAATGTTGGAACCCATTAACCATTGACATCCAATTATCACTTTAAGATTAATCCAAAACATGTAATTCAAACACAAATCTCCACAAATCCCTGATGAAAGGTGTAACTTTTATTCTCACTGTAATATTGTTGCTCCCGCCACCATTTTGTGGAGATGCTGTGTGTTTGGTTGTAAAATTAAAAAGTTAGGGCAGAGACAAACAACAATAGCGTACAGTATGTAAAAATTTAAACCCTGTAAACGCATTGATTTGCATTAAATACTTTTAACTAATGCTCTTTTTTAACAACATCATATGACCCCTTTAAATATAAAAAAGCACAGTAACAAAATGTGTACAAATATCCCACAAGGATGGAAGTTGGTTCTTTAAGGGTGGAGTCCATGGATTTGGTCTGAGGTGATGTTTTACAAATTATAAATCATAATGAACACTTTATCCTGATTTATTTGGCCCCACTTCTATATTAGGTGTTTCAGCTACTTTAGTATTTTGTATTCTGAAGCACTGCTCATGAAGTTGCAGGATATGATTAACGCAGATAGGATCTGCAATGAAATGATAGGACCACAGGAATTAGCTGAAGCTGTATCTACATGCTGGTATTTTTTTCATAAGTGCATTTTTATTAATTAATACAGATGATTCATTTAAATGTTAGTACATAGCATTTAAATCATTTAATATAAAGTTGGTAACTCTAAAAATACTAACCCTAACTATTCATTTCATGAGGAAAAATGCTTCCATCTTGCGTATCAATATGCATTATAACCCATATTATAATGTAATGAAAAAAATAAAATATAAAAGGACACCTACAAATATCCTTACAATACAATAATATCCAGATGATATATATACTTTGTTTTTCTATACCATTTTGAGTTTTTTAATATAGCTATTTGTGTTTTATACCAGTATCGACAATTTGTTGATGTATACAGTTGAAGACAGAATTATTAGCCCCCTTCAAATTTTTTTTTCTTCTTTTTTAAAAATATTTTCCAAATGATGTTTAACAGAGCAAGGGAATTTTCACAGTATGTCTGATAATATTTTTTTTTTCTGGAGAAAGTCTTATTTGTTTTATTTCGGCTAGAATAAAAGCAATTTAAATTTTTTTAAACACGATTAGGGACAAAATTATTAGCCCTGTTAGGCTTTTTTTTTTTTTCTCGATTAGTCTACAGAACAAACCGTCGTTATACAATAATTGCCTAATTACCTTAATTAACCTAGTTAAGCCTTTAAATGTCACTTTAAGCTGTATAGAAGTGTCTTAAAAAATATCTAGTAAAATATTATTTACTATCATCATGGCAAAGATAAAATAAATCCATTATTAGAAATTAGTTATAAAAACTATTATGTTTATTAATGTGTTGAAGAAATCTGCTCTCCATTAAATAGAAATTGGGGGAAAAATAAACAAGCGGTCTAATAATTCAGGGGGGCTAATTTTCTTTAGGATGCTTTACAATATTATATGTGTGCATATGCATTAGTGTAGTCAGTACTGAAGCCTGGAGTGTATCTAATAACTTACAATAATGATTCAAAAATTAGTAGCTCAAATTTATTTGCTGGGGGAAAAATATAAAATAATAATTAAAAAAAAATACTCACACACACACACACGCACACACACACACACACGTATATATATATATATATATATACACACACACACGAACACATTCATATTGTAAATAATAAAGTCATTAATGTAATATTTATAATAAATAGAAGATAGTAATACTACTGTTCAAATATTTACTATTCAACATTTAAAATATATACATAGTTTGATGCATAATTGTTACATAATCATATTGTTATCAATTACAATTCTATTGATCTCTTACAATCTCAATTCTTTGCTATTTTCTGCCAGTCTGAAGTCTTAAGAAAGTTTCAGAGATAATTTTGATATCTAATTGCACAAAATAAGCTGCATTATTGCAAATCTTCATCTCTGAACATCTCATGTTGTCTAACATTAGCAAACATCCCTGTCTAAACCATCATTCAACCCGTATGCCACAAAAAGGATACTGAACCTGCTGCTATTCCAGTGGACCGAACTGGCTCAGAAAAAGGCAAATATGCTTCACGCCACTAGGTGTAGCTCTCGTTTCACGTGAAGTCCTTCTGAAAAAAAGGACAAATTGTCCAAATTTTTCATCATCCGGTATGACTTGAGAGTTGCACTGACTGCTCTATAAATCCATACACCAACCAGAAATCCTCCAATTCTTCTGCAAATGTGCTTCATCGGGAGCTCTAGCCAGTCCAACAACAGGCAAGGAGATTGTATTTGATAAACAACACACGCAAATAACCTCTTAAACGGCTTCCTCAGATAACATTAGAAGCTAATTTCCTTGACTGACGGCCTGCATGTTTCGTTTTAAAAGCAGGCCGTTTTTTAATACCCAGCGAGTGCCGTGAATATGATTTATAATAAGTTCATAGTACAGTACATTGGCCACATCCGCGTGTGAGTTTTCTCGCGTGAGCGGAAAACATGACAGCATGATAAACGATGAAAGCAGAAGCTAGCCTTTAAAACGAGGAGAAATGAAGAAGCTGGTGACACTGGCACAGCAATGGCTTCTTTTGCTGTCAGTTTTATAGACTCTCTCCCTCGCTCTCGCTCTCGCTCTCGCTCTAATATTGTGCCAGACCAACAAAATATGAGAACTGGTTATACATCACACTGAGGGATGTGAGAGAGCAACAGGAACATTTACACAAAACAGCTGAGAAAACTACTCGGAACTCTTCACACAGCACATTCATGTTTTTTATTATTATTATTAATTATAAATTATATTAAAAACAGAAATAATTAAACAATATTTAATTAAAAATAGGCATCACATGGCGCAGTGGGTAGCACAATCACCTCACAGCAAGAGGGTTGCTGGTTTGAGCCCCGGCTGGGTCAGTTGGCATTTCTATGTGGAGTTTGTATGTGTCTTCCTTGTGTTTATGTGGGTTTCCTCCGGGTGCTCCGGTTTCCCCCACAGTCCAAAGACATGCGGTATAGGTGAATTGGGTAGGTTAAATTGTCTGTAGTGTATATGTGTGAATGAGAGTGTATGGATGATTCCCAGTGATGGGTCGCAGCTGGAAGGTAAAACTGCTGGATAAGTTGGCAGTTCATTCCGCTGTGGCGAACCGTGATTAATTAAGGGACTAAGCCGAAAAAGAAAATTAATGAATGAAGACAAGATGTTGTTCAATAATATAAGTATTGATTAGAGTTTTTTTTTGACCCGCTTCAGTATGAGTATGGGAAACACTCATACACTCTCATTCACACACATACACTACGAACAATTTAGCCTACCCAATTCACCTATAGCGCATGTCTTTAGACTTGTGGGGGAAACTGGAGCACTTGGAGGAAACCCATGTGAACACGGGGAGAACATACAAACTCTACATAGAAATGCCAACTGACCCAGCCGGGACACCAACCAGTGACCTTGCTGTGAGGAGATCGTGCTACCCACTGCATCACCTTGCAGCCTAAACTAATTTAAATGATTAATAAAAACGTCAGTATTTATTGATATTAAATTCATACCCAATATTAATATGGAAATTAATCCAGAAAATAAATGTATTAAAACAAAGTCCACGATTAAAAATTAAAACAAATAGAAATTTAAAAACTACAAAAAAGAAAAAAATATAAGTAATTATAATTAAATTAAAAATAATCTAAAATCATCAAGAACATTTGAATTAATTGTAAAAAAATGAAGTATAATGGTATAAGATTTTAGAGATGAAAAGAGCAGAATGTTTTTACCAAGCTCTGCTCTACGGCTCCATTCGTCTGATTAACCTGTTTTTTTTTTTTTCATTACCCACAATTCACACTATCTCCCATCATATTAGACAACATTACAGTTAAAAGTCAAAATGATTAGTCCTCCTGGCTTTTTCAAATATTTCCCAAATGATGTTTAACCGAGAAAGGGATTTTTCACAGTATTTAATTTTTTTTTCTTCTGAAGAAAGTTTTATTTGATTTTTTTTATTTTTTACTACTAGAATAAAAGCAGTTTTTAATTAGTTTTGACCATTGTGGGGTTAATATTATTAGCCCCCTTAAGCTGTATTTATTTTTTTATGTTTGTCTACAGCAGGGGTTCCCAAACTTTTGAGCCCATGACCGCCTCAAAATAACAATGTCATGGACTCACAACCCCCACTATCCTCAGAGGCGGTAATAAATATACTAATATTAAATATACACACCAATAGGCCTATATAAACACAAGCATATTGACAATACCATGTATTTTTTATAGTAATTTATCAATTTGTTTAATTTGCATAATGATAAGAATTAATAAGGAACGGCACAATGTTTGAACACAAGTACAGTATTTGTTTAATTTTAGAGACCACCACTAGATATCGCATAGGGACCCTGAGCATACGTCAATAGCGCCGCCACATTGGTACAGTGCTCCCAGGACAAATGTCATTCAACCGCACTAGTCAAGACAGTGTTATTATGTGAAGATGCGGGACTTGAGCGCTGTCTACGGGTGTAGTAACGAGCAAACAAAGAAAACAAAGCACAAAGGCAGAACATTTCATAGGTAATATTAAGTTTTTTTCTGTTTTTGTATGTTCTGAACTTTTGTGCTAA